GCGCAGCTGTGCGTCAGTTTTGACTCCAGCGTCCGATTACGATGACTTAGCGATAGCCGGGGCTCACGCGTCTCTGCAATCGTGCGGGGGCGGCTGCCTACAGCGCGCGCCGGCGGACGCGCGCGGCAAAACAGGCCGCGCGTCCGCCCCGGCGCCGGCGCAGCGCCGTCACTCAGCCTGCAAGCACCGCACGCTGCGAGCAGGTATGATACAGGGCTCGGGTTACTGCGGAGCCGGCGTGGCGTTGGCGAGGCCCGGCTTAACAAGGAGGGGAGGTGGGCGATGTTCCGGAGATATGTTGTAGTGCTCTCGTAATGGTCAGGGGAGGGACATTCACCCCCAAGATGAGCGTTATTTAGTGCGAACGACTCAACCCGAACTAATAACGGGCCAATCACGGCTCAGATTGAAGGAGTCTTGAGACTAACGGATTTAGGGACTTGGGTCAGGAGTAGTTTCAGAGATAAGCGTTCCCAAATGAACATTCGCCCGGGGTCTGACCACCACACGCGCACCCAGAGCCCGAGGAACGCGGCGCCCAATCCCGCCTGTCAAGTCAGATGAAAAGCATAGAATTAAGCTGACTGGGCCCCGCAAAAACCCGATCCAGGAGAGGTCATCCACCTCCGGTTATTCCTTTCCTACCGCTGCCCGATTCGTTTAACCCTCGCAGAGCCCGGCGCTGGCTAATCATCATTCCGGCGCCCCAACGGCCGATGCGCGGTCGAGTTTCACGCCTGAGCGAGCGAAGCGCCGGACGAAAGAGGTACGCCTCAATTAAAAGCGAGTCCTTTATGTGCGGTCAGAGCGGCGCATAATGCAGCTTTTCAGTGCGCAGCTGCGTGAAAGCGCGAAAGGGCAAACGGAGCGAAAATGGTAGGATCGCCCGGCGCGCCCGACGGAAAAGAATCGGCAACGTCAAGTGTCCGGTGTTACGGCTCTTCACTGTGCCGATGGGGCTGACTGCTGTTCCGCTCAGTGGATCGCGCAACGGTCGGGGCGAATGGCGCACGATGGTGTCGCTATTGTCACGGAAATGTGGTGATCGCACGGCGCCAGCAGACACGAGCAGGGGCTGACGCGGGGTGCCCTCCATGCGCTGCTTTATTGGTCTTCACGCGTCACTTGATATGCGGAGGGAACAGATTCTGACGAAAACCAGTTCCTCGGGTTTGTAATTCTCCTGCATGCCTTATTAACTTAAGGTAACTGGAACTTTCTTCCAGACCTCGAGTATTCCGAGCGATAGGTGATTTGTATTCAGTGCCTGGAACACGACGCCATCGGCTAAATATTTAACGAACACCAAGGTTCTGGCTGATCGATCTGTATCATTCAACGATATCGATGACACCAAGACGAAGTAGTTAGCCGCTATCAGTCAGCAAAACTTGGCACAAAAAGACGATCTGTTAAGATGTGATCGATATCTAACACGCTGGCCACCGCTGTTGATAATCATTACGCACAAATGACTGCCAGTTATGTAAGCTGTGCTTAGATTTGCGATGATAATCTAGTTGGCAAAAATGCAAACTAGAACAACTCATCTCAGCTAGACTTACAAATAATTATTACTCAAGTACTCAGAGCAGTTGTTCAAGGCGTTTTCGTAGTTCTCCGGACACCACTTATTAATCCACGAAAAGTCGCCAATTTGTGTAGTTAAGGTGAATATAGCTTGAAGGGAAAACTCATGACCATCTTCTTTTTTGCAAACTTGATTTGCCGAGAACGACTACACACATCCAACCGTGTGTGGCAGCCGACAACAGCGAGTGGCGCTACACACTTATTTGGTTCTCCCTTGAGTATGACGTATAAACACCGGGGCGTAGTTTTGCAAAATAAGCTGGGCGGCAGAAACGGCAAGGCTGAGCAAAGAAGCGGGGTTCTCCACAGATTCGGCCCATTTTTATCTCAAAATTGGGGACTGGAGCCCCCCCCCCCCCCCCACCATTCTGAACTGCCTTATGAAAATCATCCGGCCCGCACGAAACCATGGCCATTGCCATCGTGCCCACACACACACTTTGCGGTTTCAGACAGGCACATGGCACGGGGATGTAACATCAGCTCCCACGCGCAGGCACATTGGCTGAAATCGCTGCAGGACGAGTTCCGTGCAGCACACGAGAGCGCCAAATCTCGCAGTCAAGACAGCGAACCTGAAGTCTGGCGGTCAAGAAAAAGACAACCGCAAATACGCTGAGACGCGTGGCGGGGCGGCGAGAAGTAAAGTGTTCGTTTAAGAAAAGGTCTCTGTTTCATAAACTGGTGGTCACATCAACGTATCGCTTCTTTTACTGCAAACATGCAGTCGTTGCTTATACACCGCATCACTTCTATTGCAAAGACTTACATGCGACATAAGTGCTACACCAAAGGTTTCTGGCCAAAAATTTGCCGCCGATGTAATGACTGGCAAATGTTTTTGCAGCGTAAGTTTGGTCGTGTAGTACCCATGTCGTGTATGAGTTTTGTAGAAATACGTCGCCATAAGGGAAGACTGCATAAGTCTGCTGCATATGTAATAACGAGTAAAAGTTTCTGCAGCATAAGTTTATTGTGTTGCACTCGTGTTGTGTTTTTGCAGGCGACGTAATGTCGCATTTAACTAAAGTCTGCATGAGCTTTTACAGTAAAAGTAATGTCGCGTACAACTGATGTAGCAATCCTGTCGGCAGGAGTTTTTGCCGTGGCACTAGTGTTGTCACACCGACGGGCGGGCCTGACCTTGTGACCGCCAGCACTGCCAGCAGGAGATGAAGGATAGATCCCTGCATTGGTGGAAGATAATTTCACGCCTGCCGTCGGAATTGGACATAGACGCCTGTTCCGTTGTATAAAAAATTAAAACGTTCCATGTCAAATTTCTCCACACTTTCCAAAAGGATGACTGGCGAGGATGAAAGCATTTTAGGTTCCTTCTTTCCATGCGACGTCATGGGCATAAAGTTGTGCTCGGCACCGGGGTGGAGACGGATCAGACTCCAGTTTTAGCTAAATTTTCTTTAAGTTTGGGTGAATCCACTGTTCTCATTTGTTAGTCGGTCAAGATACCTAATGGGCAGGCAGCGTGGAGTACCTGGCATCTCACGCACGATACCATTCGATACTGTGCTTGATGCGTTTTAAACATGTGTGGAACAATCTGCACCGTAACATCGACTCCGCTGGTTTAATGGATCGCGAGAATTTCGAACTTACTAGAACAGATGGAAATTACTGGGATTTTAAACTCACCGGAGCGGCTGGAAATTACTGGAATCTTTATCTTTTCTGAAAATCTGTGGCTGAAACTGTCTAAATTGCACTTCAAAACCAGAACCCACTAGAATGTCGGGATAGGAACCTCCGTCTCAAAAAGCGCAGTCGTCAGTGCCGATATACCACAGGTCTTAAAAATTGACAAGATGGAGGAGCATTCAAGAGACATGACGGCACACGTGGCGCACACAAAAGGTGCTGCGCATCCAACAGTTATCAGTATGATTCTCTCCCAAATTTTCGAAGTCAAGTAAGTACCTTCATTTCAAACGCACCCCTGGGATGTGACAGGCAAGCTTCCTAATTTCTTACAACTGTACAACGCAGATCAGATACAAATACAAATATCACAGTTCTTTTAAATACAAATATCACGCAGCCCCCTGGCTGAAGCTTCGATGACGGCGCGGAGAGGGCGAGTCGAGAACAAATCTTCTGCAGACAGCACCTAACTTCAACAAAACTTAAGAACATCTCTCGCCACGGCAAATCCAGGGCTCATCCAGTCCACGAAAGAATTATGCCTCAGGAAATGGGCGCGGACTACCGGCTACCGTTAGGAACAACGCAAGTCTAGAAACATGCACGCCTCATGGCAGTTCTCTACGTATGTATCACATGCTTCACCAGTTCCGACATGACATTGAGCAAATAAAAGGATGGTGTTTGTTAAAAAAGACGCTTTGATCTGTGACTTCGCACTTACCTGTCAAAACAAACAGCAGAACGCAAACGACGTTCACGTGCATGTTGGGACGCCGGATGTTTTCTCTCGCAATGGCTAGAACATGAATGTCTTCTTTCTCACAATTGAATACCAAACAAGATTTTGCGATGTCAATTTCCCGATCAGCCACCAGCACCTCGCACCCGAGCACCCACACTCCAACGCCAAACACAAACACTGCGCGCCAAACAGCGGGAAACTCTGGGCGCGCTCGTCGCGCCACCGACGGCAATACGAAACGCATGAAGGGTCGACTGCAACGCCATCTAAGATGTATCTACAAAGCTTGAAATCTGTAACAGGCTGCTAGGTGACGTGGCATGCTTCGATAGTTTCGAACTCTTGGGCGGTAATGCTTATTTCACAACCATGGCATTACGGGGTGCGAGTGCAGCTTCCTTTTTAGTCGGTGAGGAGAGGGCTTTATCCCGCCAACTTGGACTCAAGCCTCTTAACTTTGAGAAGACTTGCCGAATTGAGAAGGAACCCGTTTGTTGGCGTATTTTGGCAGTAAGCTACGCTATTTCCCCTCCCCCCCCCCCCCGCCAACTAATTTAGCAGAATTACGCCCCTGTTACGGGGGATAGCAAATTTGGTGATGCACCAATGTACCCACCACCATCGAGTCTCAGTTCGTAGAGGGACTCGGCTTCGTGGTTTGCGCAGATGTCCGAGTGGGACTTCCGCCCGAGCATGCCTGCATGCCATGCATGCCATGCATGCATGCCATGCCTGCGGAGCGCCTGTGCGGCGGTGAGGTGAATTCATTGCTCACGGCAGGGACATACCCTCGTAAGCTGAGGATATGTAACGAAGTAAGATGAACCATCTACTCTTCCTTCCTCATCCTTGCTTTTTCCTGTATTTTCCCGTCGCCCCGCCCGTCCGGGGCAAACCATATGATCCACCCTGGAGTGTGCTAAGTGCCCCCGTGGTGGGGACGCTGCCCCATCGCCGAGCTCATGTGCATGCGCTCGCAGCGCTTAAGTAAAACAAACGAACATCAAGAGAAGATCCGAGAGACAAACGTATATTGCAATTAGCAAAAGTAGAAAACCGATCAGCTGCATACACCTGACTAGAGCATTCAATAACTTCTCATCCACTCTGCTTCAGACTCTCGTGTCAAGCATTGCACGTTGCGTACTCCTAGCTACAGCCTACAAGATCCGGTCTTCACATTATAGTTGTCTGTTCTCTCCACAGATGGCAGCGTTGGCATTCCCAGCGCGCGGGCCGCACCATCGCGGTGCTCGCGACCTCCGACTGCAGATGCACGGAAGCTTCCGCCACTCAAGTCGGACGTCACTAACACTTCACAGACCTGGGAGCAAGCTACTTAAGGTACACTGTAAAAATAGCGACGCCCCAATTCGGGCGACATTACTTCGCGCAGGATGAGTCCTCCAGTTCACAGTTCCCCGGTCGGCCAGGCGATCTTGGCCTCTAGCCGCTTGTAGGCAAGCATGCAATGCACGCCTTTGGCGGCCAAGTCCTGCTTGACCTGCTGTGGGCACTCGAGGTCGCCTACCAGCGTTTCTGGGGAGCATACAAGTGACGTCAGTACAAGGCGACTGAAAGACAGGGATGACGTCAGCACGTCTGACATCATGACGGAGTGATCTCAGCACACGCTGGAACATCTAGGCAGGGCGCACGCTGCGTCTCAACAGCCGTCATTTGTTGGTGCGATTGAACGCTATACGCAATCCAGCATTTAATGGCCCTTAACCGCGTTTCCAACTACACCAGTTTTTAAACAGCCGTGTCCGTTGCCAGATGCTAAACTGATCTCCGGAACAGCTCACCTGACCAAAAACCATCTCCTTCACACCCTTTACCAAACACCGTCCAATACCACCAAGACTAAAACACTGGCCGATGCTGGTGAACCGCGGCCAGCGCCAGCTGGCTCCTTTCCCGTAACCCCCTCCCCCCCCCCCCCTCACACCGGCGGCGGTCATTCTACACATCCTGTACCAAATAGCGTCCAATCCTACCAAGACCAAAACACTACGGCCGCTGCCTGTGAACCGCGGCCAACGCCAGCAAGCTCCCTTTCTTTACCCCCCCCCCCCCCCCCCCCCGCCCCTCACACCGGCGGCGTTCAGCACCAGCACCCTCACCCTCGCCGTCGATCAGCTTGAAGAGGGCGTAGTCCTGGGGGCTGGTGATGCGCAGCTTGTGGTCAAGCATTCTGCAGAGGTCGCGGGCGGTGGTGCCGGGCCGGCAGGGCAGCGTGCGGCTCAGGATGGTGCCCTGCTGCTCATCCGGGATCACCACCCGCAGGAAGCCTTCCACCGTCTCGCTGCCGCTGCAAGAGCCCGAACGCTGCCGCCGCCAGCACCGGCACCGGGTGAGTGCACAGGCTACACGAGCACGCACTGTCTCGTACCGCACGGAGGGGGGGGGGGGCAGATAGGCCCTCGCTGCTCGTCGACATTCGAGGTTGAAGCTAAATGGCATGTGTTGCACGTAGCACGTGAGATATCGATCAACATGACTGCTTCAAAAGCACCGCTTTTTGCGTCGACCGTTCGTAAACTAAACGACAAGTCAAGTATCTAACAAACACGCCTCCGCACAACACCATGAAAACACTTTCCTCCGAGCACCACGTGCGGAATACACAATGAGCAGATTTCTTGAACCTCACGACTGTCCAATCCGCATGGAACAAACCCGCCTCACATCGGCAGGGCTGACCGACCCGCCGTCTCACCTGCGACAGCCGGGTGTTGGAGTCGCGGGACCTGTCACCCAGGTAGTGCAGCAGGTTCTTCAGCACGTGCACGGCCGAGGACAGCATGGTCAAGTAGTAGCCGGCCTCGCCGTTCAGCAGCAGGGGGTGCAGCAGACCCCACATGTAGTCCGCCTCGAACTGAGGGACAGCAATGCGGAGGTCAGTGGTGGCGACGAGGCAGGGTGCAAGCAAAGCCGACCAAAACGGGGTGGTCAGCTACTTAGAACTTTTGCCTGCTGTTATTTCACTGAAAGACCAAAGGTCTGCACCCGGATATCCAAAGGAAGATTCAAAAATCGCTCACGCAACAGCCGAATGCGTCCATTTCACCCCACCATCACGCCGAAAAAGTCGAAACAAAAGAGCCGCACAGCCGCCCTCCCACAGACCTCTTCTAGCCGCACAGATCTGATAGTTCGGCATGTGCGTCGAATACCCTCCCTGTATTAGTCATGCAGGCTGGGGGGGGGGGGCGCGAGGTCTCCGCGGGCGGCCGGCAGCGTACCTCGCCATTGGTGACGTGGCAGTGGACCAGCGCGTACAGCAGCAGCGGCAGGAAGTCGTCGGCCGGGATGGAGGCGTCTTCACCGCCGGCCGCGGAGAACAGCACCGACACCGTTGCCAGCAGGCTCTCCAGCTTGTCCAGAGGACTGGCCGAGTCCTGCATCCGGCCCAGGAAGTGGCGCACCGATGCGAGCACGGCGGCCGTCGGCGGTGTCTGCTGTGGCTTCAGGCCCAGCGCCACCGCCGGGCGGCTGCGCGCGAACTCGAAGTTCTCTGCCAGCCGCTGGGTGGCGCCACTGCGCTGGGCGGCCTCGCGCCACAGACGGCTGACGTGGTCGTGCAGCGGAGTGACGAGCAGCTCCTCCAGCACGCCCTCCAGGATCGCGTCCAGGTTCAGAAACTCGGTGGAAGACAGCTGCCAGACCGAGGTGTAGTGTTCACAAAGCCGTAGTGTCCATAAAAGCATGACGTTCACAAAGGTGTGGTGCACCCAAATGCGCGGCGTGATGCTCAGGTATGCCAGGAGTGCGTCTGTCACACACTATACAAAAAGGCATGGCGTGGCCATCCCGTCACTTTCACCTACGTCTGGAAGCATCGCAGCCGCATAGGTAAAAACAAAGAAGTAGCAATGCATATAGTATGTAATATCGCCGAGCCTCATGAGACACGTCATACCATTCAGACTACCTGGCCGGCATTTTGCTTCATTAAAAGGTCATCAGCACATGGTCTGCCCCCATCCTCATGCACACGGACCACACAGAAGCGCACTCAGTGGCTGCCGGTACCTTATCTCTCTCCTGGTGCACCACCTGGTGGAACTCCGCCTCCCCGTGCTTCACCAGATAGTTCTTGATGCCGTTGCAGAACTGACGCACGTTTCGCATCACCACGTGCGGGTCCGTCTCAGCACCCTCCCGCGTGCACTGTGAGCGGACGAGGGCGGTGAAGGTGGTGCGCATAGGACATAACGCACGCTGCCACCAAGGCCGATCATCCTCTGGTGGGACCAATTGAAGTGCACTTTCACATAAACTCAAGATACATCGCTGAATTCTATGTTTAGCTGTTCTGACTAACGCCCACCGATGACACACTGTCGCTCTCACCTGCAGGAAGTTAAATATGCAGAGCGCGAACGTGCTGGAGTCGTCGTTGGCCAGCTTCATGACGTAGTCCCTGATGGCCGCGCCTGACTGCTGACTCTTCCGGTGAAGTCGGAGGCTGTTCAGGCGGGGCGGAGCTGGGAAAGAAGGGAGCGCACGTATGAGCTCAACTGAAACGAAATGCTTTACAGCGACACATGTTTGAATGGCGAGTCAGCAGAACAAAGCTCGCTAAGAAAAACTTGTTCTTGTTCATTGAGACCTGTTGAAAAACTATCAAGAATCTTTTTTTTTAATCAATTTATAGGGTAATCAGGAACTGAGACATCAAACTGCGAAAAAATACTTTGGAGCAGTGTGTATGAATTGAAAATGAAATCATACATTTCAATTTTCTTTGGCTTGGTTATTTATTCAACTTATCAATAAACCATTATCAAATGTATTACTTACTTACCTCCAGGCAAAACGCATCAGTGTATGCGACTCCTACACAAGCCGCACACCAGCACAAAGACGCTGCGATCTAGCTGCAGGTTCCTTTTAAATCAGAATGATGACACCCGACATCGGCTGACCGCCCACTCTGAACCGAACTGTCTCGCCGTCGGTACTTACAATAAAGCGACTCCTGCTGGGAGCGAGAGAGTGGCAGCCGCGGCGGCATCAGCCGGTCCGGCATCTCCACCGCCGCCGGCTCCGTCTGCGGCGCCGACACCGGCTCCGGCTCCCGCTCCCGCTCCGGCTCGCCCGCAGCCAGCACGAACGACTCGGAGTCGGTGAACAGACGCTCGTCGGCGTCGAACTGTCCGCTGCGCAGTCGCATCTGGTCGCTCATCAAACGCATGATCGACTGCCACTTGGAGACGTCCGTGTCAGTGTCGGCGTCGGTGCCGCGGTCCGCCGCCGACGTCGCCAGCGCCGTCGCCGACGGGCGCAGGTTGTCGTACTCGGAGGCCGACACAGAGGCGGCCGGTGGCACGGCCAGCGGCAGGCTCTGCCGGATGATGGCGTGCACGATACGCGTCTGCTCCTCGGGCGAGATCTCGGCGGTGGGGTCCGGCGGCGGCTCGGTGGAGGTCGTCTGCCGCGTGACCGGCCGCTCGCCCGGCGCTTCCTCGTCCGTCTCCGAGTCGGCGTCGCAGCCGTCGTCGCCGCGGCCCAGGAACTCCCAGCTCGAGTCGAGGCGCCACTGCTCGGTGCGCCCCCGGCGGCGCGCGGCCGCGGCGCGCCTCCTGTGCGCGCGGCGGCGGGCGCGGCGCGCGCGCGCGCCGCCTCGCCCAGCCCGCGGCTGCTCTGTGAGCGGCCGCCGCCGCGGACGGGGCGCGGCTGCGGCAGCGGCGGCGGCTGCGGCGGCGCGGCCAGCTCGGTCACGCTGCCGCCGACGCCCTCCTCGCCGGCGTCGATCGTCGGCAGCGTCGGCAGCGCGGGCCGGCGGGCGCCTCTCGCTTCCCAGCCGCGCATGTCGGGCTCCGAGTGGCGGTGCGCCGGCCGCTCCAGCGGCGCCCGGCGCGACACGCCGACCACCAGGTCCGGCTGGTGGCGCACGGCGTCGGCCGGCACGGCGTACAGCGGGCTCGGCGCGGCCGCCTCGCGGGCCATCTCCAGCAGCGCGTCGGCGGTGTCGCGGCTGGCGCGCGAGACGGCCGCCGACGTGGCGAACGGACTGCCGGCGGGCGGCGCCTCGCGCGCCGGCGACGCCCCATATATCCTCGTAGTCGGAGATCTTGTCGGCCACCGAGCTGCGGCAGTAGGCGGCCGGCGAGTCGAGCAGGTCCGACTCCTGGTAGTGGGCGGAGCGCTTCTTGCGGCCGCGCCGCCGGCCGCCGCGCGGCAGGCCCCCTGCAGAGCGGCTTCCTCACACGAGCCGGGCGTGGTGGCCGGCGACGCCGTGTCGACGGCCGTCTCTGGGCCAGCACCGCCGTCGCGGCCGCCGGCTGCGATGACGTCGCCGCTGGCGGCCCGCAGCGGCGCCGGCCCGCGGATGAACACGCTCATCTCGCTGCGAATCGTGCCGCCGCCGGGCGAGCTGACCTGGAACGTGGCCGTCGACTACCATGCGCTCGGGCGCACCGCCGCTGGCGTCGCCGTAGTTGCCGTCGTCGTCTCCGTCGCAGCAGATCCCCGCCGGGGAGGAGAGCGACGGCTTGCACCAGCGGGGCGGCGGCGGCGGCGGCGCCTTCGTCACGGATGTCACCGTGCCGGTCGGGCTCCCCACGCGGCTGACGAGCTCCGGGCTGATGAGGCGCGTTAGCCCGGCATCCGGCGTCAGCGGCAGCGTGCTCGGCGGCCGCGGTCGGCCCGCCGCCGCCGCCGCTGCCGGCTCCTCGGCCGTCGCCAGCGGCACCAGGTTCAGCACCACGGCGCCGGGAGCGCTGCTGCGGCGCGGGCCGAACGAGCGCAGCGGCGCGGCGGCCGGCGCCGGCCCACCGCTGCCTCGGCTCGACTCGCTGCCGCCGGCCGGCTTGTTCAGGCTGCTGGCCGGCGACGACTCGGCGCTGCCGCCGCCGCCCGTGCTGTCGCTGGCGGCGCGGCCGGCCAGCCGACACGTCCAGAACTCTGCCGGAGGCGGAGGAGCAGCGTCAGACGGTCGCGCACGGCCGATCGGCCGCGCCCCGTTCGCTCTGTGTGAGAGCGCACGCACCGCCGGCGCCACAGACTGGCACAAAGGCGCGCGGGGGAATGCGCGCTGCCGCGCGGAACGGCGCAGCGCGTGCGCGGGGGACCACTCGCGCACCGTCCGCCCCCGGAGTCACACAAAGGCGCGTGAGAGCGAATGAAGTGGGCGGCGTGCGGACGGACATGCGGGCGGGGAGACAGACTGTGATGAACGCTCGCGGTGTAACGGGAGTGTTGCAGGTCTTCAGCGCGCACGTAACTACCCGAGGAGGGTGCATGCTAGGCATAGGCAGAACCTTCAGACCTTCCTCGTCCAGCAATACACTGGTCAAAGATGGCCACCTGCGGCACGTAAATGCTCCGCACATGTATGTCACCCCGGGGTGCCGGTATCCGCGTGCTCTGGCCTCACCTTGTCCGAGGAGTGCCAGCGAGGAGAGCTGGTGACGCGAGTCGACACGCTGCAGACTGGGCGGCAGCTGCAGCAGCACCGGCAGCTCGTCCCTGCAACGCGGCCTTCCGTCAGCTGGGATGCTGAAGGTCAACGGGGTCACACAGGTCAGCGCGGATCAAACAGGTCCGCGGGGTCAGGCAAGGTCGGGGTCAGCGGCCCGCGCAGCAGCGCGTGGGCGACTGGACCGCGCCCACTGAGTGCGGTGTCCGGAGCGGCGCGGCGCCGTATCGCCGCCTCTGCACGGACCGGACACACTCGCGTGTGTGCGTGTGTACCGGCTGGCTTCCCGGCCGCCGCGCCGCTGTTGTAATCCGTCGTTACTCACCGTCCGGCACGGCGGGTGACGTCACACGAGCACGTGCGGGGAGACCGCGGAGGGTGGGATGGCGCAGGGAACCTTACTCCAACACGCAGGTGACCAACGGTCCACCCCGGAGGCATGCGTCAGCAGACAAGGCACGCAGACAGGGCGCAAAAACATCACACAACAGCCACATTCATGTAGACAGCGCACGCCAATGTGCACGAGGAAACATATGGACGACCCGTGACCGGATGTTTGCGCCCATTTGCGGGAAATCGGGCAGAGAGAGCAATTATTGGTTGTAGCAGGGGTTGAGACCCACAATTGAGAGTCCAAAGGATAGGTTTCGGTTTCGTCAATCCGCTCTCTAGGGCTTCGTTTCGACCGCGAAGGTCCCGATGTCCATCAAACAGTACAAAACCACACACACTGTGCATGAGCCAATAACCAGCACCAGCCGCACATGGTGGAGGACAGGCAGACCACTCACTTTGGCGCGACGAATCGTCACAAACACTGTAAGGTGCGTAAACAACACCGCTGTTTACGCACCCCGCACCTCACCCTGCAGTCAGGGGGCCACACACCTCGCCACCAACCGGCACCACACACGCACCCACAGCCTGCGGACGCACCCCTCACGCACCCACACACGCACCCGCAGCCGCGCGGTCGCACCCTTCCGGCCGGCCCGTCCGGTCGGGCCGCAGCCGGCCGCTCGCTGCGGCCCGGCGGCCAGTGACCCTCCCGGCGGTCGGCAGTCGGCCGTCGGTCGTCGGCCGTTGCTGGGCGCGAGAGGGCGGCCGGCCCGGCGCGGGGCCGCCCCGGTATCGACTGGGCCCGCCCGACGGCCCGCCCCCGCCGCCGGCGCGGCGGCGACACCCGTCGCTCGTCGGGAGCGACGCTAATTTTAGCGGCCGCGTCGCCGCCGCCGGACCGACCGGTCGCCGGCATCGACGCCGCGCGACCGCGAACGCGACGTCGACGGCGGGAAGCCCTGGACGGGCGGGCGGAAACGCAAACACGACTGGTCCCCCTCGCAGCAGCCCCATCCCCCTCCCCGTCGGGAACGTTAATCCACCGTCAGTTTGGTGTTATTGTCCGCGGACGGTGCGGAAGAGGAAAAGTGCCCCATAACTAACAACCATAACCAGCCGATGTTAACGTTTTGCGGAGGGTCGACTAGAATTTGCTGGGCGAAGATATTGCGTGGGCCCTAAATCAACATGGAGTCCCAAAGTAGCCTTGCAGTCATTGTAAACGTGAGCACCGTTGTGTTAACTGCTTAACCATATTACAGTAAACACTGAACTTAAGCACAGTGTCCTGCATATCTGATGGGCTGCCCTTTACAGCATGGGTGTTGTGAGACTTCAGTAAACCCCAATACATGGTTGAATAAGCATTCATCACGGTCATATATACCAATATGTTATAAAACACATAGCGATATGTTATAGAAACATTGACCAGCATGTTATACACGTATGCCAGCTGGTACCGAGTCACCCGCTAGCGAACATGACACAACTGTAGTATACCTTTGTATAAATTTTGCACATTTTCGTGTGTTTACTCCGTGCATTTTATTAAATCAGTGACGTGCAGTTTCCTCCTTCACATCACTGTATGGCTCAATGCGAGCCAACCAAACTGCCCATATGCGACACCGTTCCTCATCTGTCAGTCAAGTCTGCCCACGACTCGACCATCTGGTCGCCGTCCCAGCCGCCGGGCACCCTCGAGCATCCAACAGCCCCAACCGACGTGACGCGTCCCACATTTAAGAGGATTGAATCCGAACTGGCAGCATTTATTTCGGTCCGCGATTTTATACAGGGCTCCGGTTAGAAGCAGCGTCAGCGCGTCAGCGGGGTGGGGCGTCAGGGAGTGCCCAGGTCAGGTCAACGGTCACCCTCACGCGACGGAGTCTCGCCCTGGGCCCGCAAAGCGCAAACTTGTGCCGCGACGGGTGTCGTGGGTCGGGTCATCTCGGCACCCTGCGTCCGGTTGGACGGCCGTCCGCAAGCAAAGAGCACCTTAAGCGCGGTCCAAAGGACGTGTCAGGGCGCAGTTCCACAAAAGGTGTTGGGGTAGCGAGTTCAGCAGTGCAAAATTACGAAACCTCCTCCGACCAACAAAGGGGCTTATGCCAACAAAGGGGCTTCTCTGCGAATTGCCCCACTTCGCTCTCAAAATTAGGGGGCAACCGAAGTTAGGGGCCGGGAAGCTGCAAATCCAGCTGGTAAGGGGGGGGGGGGAGGAGCCTCCCAACTGAATAGGAACTACACTCTGGGTCGTGTCGAAAGGAACTACACCCTGGGTCGTGTCGAAAGCGAGCCTCAGACGTTCTGTCAGACCACCCGGTTTCAAAGCTCTTCGACATTCAAATGCGTGTTCTAATCGCAGGAATATTCACGCATCTACATCGCGGCCTTGCCCGGAGGTCTTCACCCTCGATCAGCTGATAAAAATGGTCCTCATTTGCGAACGTAGCGCGATCGCTCCGAGGATAAAGGCCGTCAAATTTTCGCCGTCTTTACACGTGGGAGGGTAATAGCCGCGTCTCACTAATTAGGGAGGTGATCGATGGGTTATCGAGGGCCGGCTATTAGCACAGCTAATACGAGGGTGAACAGACATCTTGTAGATGAGCGTATCAAGCTGCGGTCCACGCCTGTTAATTATTAATCAGTTTCTAAAGCAGTGTCGGCGGGTGGGCCACGTAAAAAAACCTTCATTCCACCGCCAGCCACACGCGCAAAAACCGTCCGCGTCTCTATCCGCCCCATTGTCCGTTCGCCCACGCGCGCAATCTCCACCATCAGCGCCTTATCGAAGCGAGTCCATCTCCCCGCCCCACCACGCCCCCGAGTCCGGCCCATTGCTGGGTCCGCCCCTGTCCCATCGCGCGGATCTCCCGCCGGCCGCCTCACCTGTGGCACGAGTAGTGGGCGATCAGGCTGGAGATGTTGTCGAACCGGTGGTCGGACAGCTCGAGCCCGAGCTTGCCGCCCTGCACGCGAACCAGGAAGTGCTCCACGTGCGGCCCCTTGCCGGGCGGCAGGCGCACAGTCAGCGCCATGGTTGGCGCCCGGCTGGACTGGCGCACGATGAACGTCTGGGGACGATCGACGACGAGGTCACTCAAGGGCAGCCCCTCACGCCAAGGAGGGGCGGCGGGGAGACAAGCCGCTTCAACTCTGCCGAACTGAGCATTGCGCAAACGGGCGTTGCACGGAAAGAAACGCGTGGAAGATCTCGACGCTCGCCGTACTACCGCCTCGTGGTGAAGCCCCCGGACTTTACTTCCGGGACCGTTGGAGCCAGCAGGGTGTCAGACAAGGGGTGATGGCGGTAGCATAGCGCGGAGGAAAAAAATGTGGTAGCTGGGTCCGGCGGACTGCCAATTGGAAACGAAGTGAACGGCAGAAACACGGACCTGAGGCAAAGTGCCCGGCCGAAATAAAGATGGTCCATACGAACTGTCCATCGGGAATACGGAGCGGAAATATTAACTAGCGCGAGCAAAGGCCGGGGATGGTCTGGGATCGGAAACGGGCGAGCGATTTAGGGAGCAGTAGTGATGTTCCACCACGTTTACGGGTGCCTCGGAGACTGGAGACAAACGGTCCTGACGATGCGAAAAATCAGCGAAAGTGCGAGGTTTGCAACGCTGTGGGCCGTTATCTCACGAGGCAATACAGAGACGGCCGGTGGAGATGCAAGATCCCCCCCCCCCTTCGCCCCCTCCCAGCTTGGATACAGTGACACAAAAACAATGAGCAGGTGCGCGACGTGAACAAGAAACAGTAAAACAGTCAAACAGTCAAACATTCAAACAACACGCGCGCACAGCACGCAGCAACAGAAGACGTCCAACGCACGCAGCAAAGATCTGACGACAAAGACACGCCGCCTGCACGTCAGCAGGGCTGAAAGCTCTCCGGACCGGGAGATAGACGAGATGAATCCCCGCTGGCGGATTCAGAACCAGATCCCCGCTGACGTACAGAATGCAGCGTTCGCAGCGCCCCATTCGCCCTGACAGCAGAATTAATGAGATCGGTATGGACCAATGACAGGGCGAGAATAGCAGGGTACTGTTCAACTTTTGCAGGACACGACTCCACTCAGAAGCTCGGCCGCGAACAAAGGCGCTGGACAGCGCCTTGTAAAGGCCTGAAGTGCGGGTGCAGCCACACGACAAAGGGCTTTGGTTAGTGGTTCAGTCTGCGTCACTTAACATTTCCGGGGCCCTTTCATCATCATCATCGCCTCACCGAGCTAGTGGAAATTACGGTGATTAGGCCATTGTAGTCGAAGCAAAATGATCGCTATGTTTTATTACAACCGTGGCGAAAGGTCAAGCGAGGTCTTGTGACGACCAAAGACGTAGAGCTGCTTGCATCGACACCATCGATGCACCCAGCTCCGCACAGCCGGGGGCAAACCAAACCAAGACTCGCGCGTCACCTCTGCCCCCACAACAGGAGTGACAAGGGACAGCGGGAATACACCAGACCAGGACAGCGGTCGATGCCAGGGAGCAGGGACACCAGGCGGCGCCACCTCCGCGCCAGACGGTGCGCGGCCCGGCCGAGGATCCCATCTCAGTACACCTGTCACCGCTGCCAGCTGGCACGGGTTAAACGCGCACACGGCCCCTCTGGCCCGGCTGTGACGGAGCGGGCTACAGCGCCAATGTCGGTCAGGCGCAGAGGAGAAACACGTCAGGTGGGCGAGCAACGCTCGCAGAATAGAGCGGAGGATGTGCCAAATGCGTCGGCACGCAGTGGAGCGTTGGATATGCCGACTGCTTCTCATCAGGCGATGCCAAGTTGGTGTGTGGAGACATCTCCCCTCCCTTCCCCACCCCAGAAGCAAAACACGGGGTATGTCATCCGCATCCTTTCGCAGCGAGGGGAAAGAGGCGCGTTGTAGCATCCACTACAGCATGCTCTATGACGACAAGAGGAAAGGATGCGGGCGACGAAAGATTACGTCAGCTAGCGCTGCCATGAGGTGGTACGCCGGCTCATTTCATGTCGTTCAGGGTGGCCAAATCCGAACAGCCCGGGGCCAATTTGGTCGGCATTTCTCTCAGTAGGCCGCACGCCCAGTGGCTGAAAGGCCAACAGTGCATGGGAAGCTTAACCCGCTGAAGGAACGAATGTATGAGTGATGTTCCGGTAATCTTGCTCTGTAATCTCGCTCTTAGAGAGTACACGCCATGATAGCACCCGCGCAAGCCCACATGACAGGCACCCGGCTCATCTCACCCCACGAGAGTGAGAATCGGGGGGGGGGGGAGTCTAACGGTCCCGTAAGCTCCATCCTCTCATCTCATCACACCGGAGAAGATGAGAAGGCCTAGTGTCCCTCCAATCCCATCGCCGGAAGCCTACAGCCGGAGCCCGGTGCCGCAGGTGATCTCACCCCGGGCGGTTTGTCCTGCAGCAGGTGTTCGGCGCCGGCGCGGTGCAGCCCCGGCAGGAACCAGACCGGGTGGGAGCGGATCAGACGCTCAGTGACGCTCATCTGGGCGGGCGGACCGCCGTACTCCGGCTCGCTGCCCGAGGACACGGCGCTGTCCTCCTGGAACGGGGTCAGACGAGGTCAGACGCCAGGTCACGAGAGATCAGGACCAGGGTCACAAGAGTTCAGACGCTGGGTCGCTGCACGAGACGCCGCTGCTCTCCTGGAGCGGGGTCAGAGGGTTCAGAGCCAGGACCATAAGAGGTCAAACGGTGAGTCTCTGCATGAGATGCCGCTGTTCTCCTGGAACGGGGTCAATACGAGTCAAACGAAAGGTCATCGTAAGAGACCACGCTGTCCTCCTCGAACGGGGGCGGAACATCTTAGACGCGAGATCAGTACCGAGGCCAGGAAAGGTCAAACTACAGCTCAGTGCGTGAAACGGCGCTGTCTCCCGGAACGGGCAGAAAAGGTTAGACTCCGGATCACTGCACGATGATACGGCCATGCCATTCAGTGTGACAAGGTCACCAAGGGTCAGGCTTAAGACGACGGTCTGTACACCATGATAAGGGTCACCCCCAACGAGTTCCGCATCGACATGCGGATCCCGTCGGCCGAGCTTCGCCACTGTTGCCAGGGTTTAATGCATGCTCAGATGTCACATCCACGAAGCAACAAAGGTTCATATCTCATGAGAGGTATTCCATGAATGCATATTCAGCGGACGCTTCACGGGAACGGCCCGGAGAACGCGGCATTGTTTGGCGATATCCTGAGAATGAGAAAGCCAACAAGGGCCACCAACCCGAAGCGTCCACATTCGATGCTCGGTTGAATGGTAGCCTATGGAAAGCGTTTGACATATTCTTCGAAGACGACGCACCAGGTCAGGGCGGAGGTCAGAGCCTGACCCCGATGCCGCCTCGTCTCCCGTGCCGCCACGCCTGGACGGAGCGTGACACGGCTGTCTCGGCAGAAGGTCACTAACACTCCACTACCTCGGCCGACCTGTTCCTTCGACAAGAACGAGGCTCGGGAGCGCGACACGTAAAAACCGGGGACGTGACGCGGCGCAGCACGGAAGACCCTCGTCAGCCTCAGCCCGACAACCACGTGACAATTAACGAGGTCGGACCGGGTCACGTGGTACACGCGGTCAGCAGGGAAAGCTGCGCTCGACACGGCCAGGGCGACACACAGGGGCCGCGCGGGACGGCGGAAGTAGCAGGTGCGCCACTTTTTGTCGCACCTCCTACAATGGGTCACTGGCCAAACACATAGTTGCGCAGGGCGGTGTGTGGTCAACCGCTTGGCGTGGAATATTTACAGCCAGCCCGTTAAAAAGGCAAACGAGAATCGCACGTCGAACACAAAATTGAGGCACTGCAAGTGCAAAGCAGAGTCATCGCCAATGTGTTATCTGATACGAGAGCAGACGCGGTGACCTACAACTGTGAGAAGTGGTTTGCATAAAAATGTTAACCTTCTCTCAGTCTGAAACACCAGCATATGCATTTGCAGGCAGACGAGTCTCTCCGCCCCTCGCGGGAACATCTGCGTAGGACACGTCAATGCTTAAAAGCCTGTGATGCTCAACGCCTCGCTAAGCTCCAGCAATAATCATTATCACGCCAGGCAAACAAGTAGCAATCAGCTGCCGCCGATTATATCAATCCCCGACATGAGCGGCACGGTTCCTTCTAAAGCTGACAACTAACCGAATCAACGTCGTATTAGCTCTGGGCTCGCAGGCTGCACCCGAATGCTTAGTTATGTACGCAGAAGGGTGCATGCGGAAAGCGCATGCATGCACGATGTATAGCTGGAATAAACCTACCTCACATACATGCACGCAAAACAGCGTAATAATGTGTCTTTATGCGATTCAAACAAGACATTCGTAGTTGGGATGCAGCACAGGATGATGGCAAAGGCGGAGGCGTCGTGCAACTCTCATGCTGAAGGTGGCATGGCCGTTACTTCAGATTAAAAGGCGCTGCAATACGATAAGGTACCAAGCCGGAACTTTCCACAAGTCATCCGATCTGCACCCTTCGCAGATAGCCATTTTTTCACAGGTTCTTAACATGCCCGCCCAATGCCAGGCACTGCGAGGTCTCCACTCTGGCACTGCATTAGTGTGCCACTACCGACGTACTGACACCCAGGGGCATTTCTTTGACGCGTAAGGTGACTGAGAATCCACGAGCAGCTGCTGCGAACGGCAGCCCCGCTCGCTGCTCACTTCGCGTACGCGCTGCATTGGTCCCGAGGATTGCCCGGTGTGAGAGCTACAACGACTTTTTGTCGCGAACTCCACCCTAAATTTGAACTGGGCGACCGTTAACAGGTTACGCGTATTTCAGAACCAATGGGGGCAGCTGGTGCCCAATCACCGGGGACCAGTGGGAACCGGAACAGACCCATGGGTGGTGCTGGCCGCGTGGCAAATGACGGACCTTTCGGCCTGGCCCAGACCATTACCACCTCATTACTAGTCCCCCACAGTACAACAGCTACCTGGCCGCGGACCGGCCGCTAAATTACGGAGCCATCACCTCCGTTACCATTTAAGTCTCGGCGCTACCTCTCGGTTTCAAATCGGCCACTCGGCAGAGGTCAGAGAGGTCGGCCGGTGAACGGCCCTGATCCGCCGTAACCGATCGCTGGTGGAGGGCGGCGGACAGGCCGCCTGCACCGCCGCGCGTGCCGACCGGGGCCGCGCGGCCGCCACGTAACGGGGCGGGGCTCGCGCCGATGGACCGTGCCGCTCGCCGCGGTCGTCCGTGACGGCCCGCCGCCGCCGCCGGTGCGCCGCGTCCGTCGTCCCGACGCTGCCCTGCGCCGTGTTTGTGTTGAGCGGCGACGGCACGTGACAACGCGATACAGGAGCGCTTGGGCGGTGCGAGGGAATGGCGTCTATGGACCGCGAGAGAGGGCCGCCACATGGAGGCCGGCCGACGGAATGCCGACGGGGTGGGCTGCTGACCTGGTTCCTGTTGATGCTGAGCTGCAGCAGCCTCTTCTGATCCGACATCACGTCTGGTGAGGTGGACAAAGGGTCGCTGTCCGAGTTCATCCTGGAACCGGAGAGTCTGGTGTCAATCCGTGGTCGGGTCGCGGGCGAGGGTGACGGAGATGTGCGAGCCAAATACAGGGAAAACAAGAATGGAGAAGGGCAAGAAAAAATGCCAAATAGTACCAACATATATATGTATATACATATATATATATATATATGTATATGTATGTATGTATAGGTATATATGGGGCAAGAGGGGACACATACGAAGGACGGAAGCAGGCGGGGAGAGGTCAGAGGCCCAGAGGCCGAAGGTGAGAGAGGGAGAGAGAAAAAGAGAAAGAGGGGTGGGGGAGAGAGAAAGAACGACGGAGGAAGCCGTTGAAAACGGGTCAATGAACCTCGTAACTGACCATTTACCGGTCGTCCTCACAGGACCGGGCACAGACCCCTCAAGGACGCCACCGAAACAGGGTTAAAGAGTACAACGGTGAAACTAGCCCTCTGATTACACTGTGGCGCTTGTCGGCTCGTCTCGCCTCACAGTTGGGACAAAGCAACCCTCGCTGCTATGGGTAGGCGGAGCAACTACCTTCAGCTCAGTGTGGGTCATGGACAGGCATGCTGTCCTGGGTCTAGTAAAGCCATGGGCAGGCAGCCTCGCTGCTATGGGCAGGCAGCGCAATTGCCTTCAGCTCAGTGTGGCTCACCATGTTGTCCCGGGTCTTGTAAAGCTATGGGCAGGCAGCCTCGCTGCTATGGGCAGGCAGGGCAACTACCTTCAGCTCAGTGTGGCTCGCCATGCTGTCCTGGGTCTAGTAAAGCGTGACATATGGCTTACGTTAAGTCCAAGATCCGCAATAACGAACATAAAAAGGCGTGTTGCCGTTTCTGGACAGCCGCATAAGGTATGATGTACTTGATCACGTTAGGCCTTCTTGGAACAGACCTTAATGATGTTTTTTCCTTCATTAACGATAATGGTGTCTGCAAGACAGCGCCAATCCACGACGCATTAGCAGTGACATCCCTGTCGTTTTTATACTGCACCGCCTAAAGCGGCGGATGTTAGCGCCCCATCGCAAAAGCAAGCACTTAAATAAGATTCGGTGACAAATGCTGACAAACCGTTCTACAAAGCTACCACAAATGGAGATAAATGTGTACAACTCTGAAAGCACGCTTAGTCTATGACCTCGGTTTGAATATTTTCGACGAGCTTCCTGCATTCCTTACATAACGTCCAAGGGCCGGGTCCCGCACGAAAGCGTTCCTCTCATGTCCGCTTTCCGCGCGTTGATAACACAGTCGCCCCACCGTCGTTGCACGCTCAATCTCACATACCCCCCCCCCCCCCCTCTCCCCCTCGTCGCCCGTCCGTGCGGCGCGTCACCCGGCTCTGGGATGCGCCGCTTCTGTCCCCTCCTCCTCCTCCCTCACCCCTGTGTCCGCCGGCTCGGGGCTGGCAGATGACCTGACGTACCTCCGCCGCCGACACGGCACGCGCTGCGACCGTTACAATCCGACAGTGCCGGGCACCCGCTCTCGGAGCGCCGGCACGCGCCGGCAATGTCCGGATTTTCGTGGCGGATGGGGCGACATTGAAGGGGCCCGGAAAAGTGCCCTGATGGGATGTCTGAGCTCTCATGACGTCTATGGGGCTATCATGACACCCTCTTGAGAGTGTAAGTCGTAGACGCTAATGATGCCTTTGATGTGTCTTCTTGAGAACCCGTGACGGGTTTTAGACCCTGTTTCGTGGGTCCTGGTGCTCTTGGCCCCTTGACATTCTGGTGCGCCGCAGTGAGCTGCTCATCAAATGAAGCGTCGTTCGGACATGTTCGAGCATATGAGATGCGGCGCAGCTTCTACACTCCAATTCGCACTCCCTTTAACACGCTCCGTGGCTTCGCATTGACCAGCGGCAGGGTGCGGTCCCGGGTGCTTCCCTCCCTGTGTGCTCCTCTGCCTCTGGCCTGCAGGCGGCGGCCGCCGCCGCCTCACTGCAACGAGGGCTCAAGGGCGGACGGCTGGCGGCCGATAGCCAAATAGACACGAGGCTCCCGATAAGCATCCTTGGCCGCGCCTGCTTTGGCACGTTTCCGACAACAAAGCTGCAGCGCAGCGTGCCGGCCGTCGGTCGGGCGGGCGGCCAGTCGGTCGGAAGCGATCTGTCCCGACGGCTCGGTCGCAGCGGCGCTAGCTGACGTCGGCCCCACGTGCCGGCGAGCGTCCACCCCCAGCTCGGGAGTAGCCCCCGCGTTCCTCCGTTGCCAGTGGCTCCGGCGGCCACCGCCGGTTCGGTGGTATGCTTCGGGACGCGTTGAGCTGCTGTGATCGGAGGCGGTGAAGTCGTGCGTCGTTTCCAGTCGGAAAAACCGAAACACACGGCTGTCGTAAGACTGGGGCCAAGGACTTGATTCTTCGACGAACGCTAGCCACCCCCCCCCCCCCCCTCTTTCCCCCGACGCAGGAGCGACGCGTCCCATCCGTTTCCTCACCGAGCCGCGAAAATATGGACGAGGGACACGCATTGGGGGCGCGATTGTGATGCAACGCTACACAGCATCGGTCAAACCCTCCGTTTTCGACAATCATTCAGACTGTTTCTGCGAGGCGCGAGTAGCAGTTTCAGCCGATGAAAACGACATAAATTTGCACGTGTAAAGCGCGGGCGTGCAGGGGAGCACATCTATGCGCCAGACGCACCGCTCAGCACTCCTCTGCAGAGCAAATGTGACCGTTGTGATTGTGATTATCATGTCAATGACGTCCCGCTGCACCTGCAACGTGAATGGGTTTGAACGATTATTCACGTGTCAGATATATTACCAGGGCGCACCGTGCATCAAGCTTAAGTCCGACAACGTTATCCAGTGGGCTACCTCCATATGTCATTGACCCCACTGAGCACCTTTGAATTTGCCGCAAGCCAATGGCTCAACAAACGTCTGACAGATAGAGCGGCTTCCCCGCCGCCTTTGCAACGATTGCCGTCATTCACAAACTTGACTGGGAGCCCACAGATGGCCAGCGCGCACCTCGGTCGAGCTCCACCCGACGCCTCTCCACCGACGGTCCGGCCACGGCCGCTCGGGCCGTCCCGCGAGGTCGCCCTCCCTCGGCCGCCTCCCCAGCCGCCTCCCCGGCCGATCAGATAGCGCACGGACAGGCCCGCTGCGGCCGCCGGGCGCCGCCGGGCGCCGCCGGGCGTGTTCGGCCGGTGGCGGGCTCGTTATTTCGGCTCAGTCAGCCATGCGCCGTCGCCAGTTTCGTCCGGCCGATTACGCTATCTCGGCGCCCTCGCCGGTTTAACCGCCCGGAGTCGGAGTTTTTCGGCGCTGGCCGCGCGCCGAGTCTCCAGCGGGGACGTGGTCGGGCTGGTGCTGGTGCTGGTCGGGCTGGTGGTCGGCTGGTGCCAGGCGGCAGGAGGAAACTGCAGCGTGTTACCGCCGCTCCCGTGCCCGGCTTACAGGTGTGGTAAGGACGGGTTCGGCACGCCCAGTCGGCGCCGATCTTCAGCAGTGCATCCGATAAATGCACCGCTATCGGGTGCTCTCCGATAGCGTGTACCGATTACGGGGGACGGCCGGCCCAGAACCGGATGAAACGAATTCTTCCGAACGCCCTGTGACCGGCCGACAGGCATCAAACTCCCGTCGTTTTTAACGACCGGGATGGACGGGCGTGACACGTTGTTCCCCAAGGTCAAAGGTCAAGGTCAGAGGTCTTGGTCCGCACGCACAAGTGACACAATTCTCTCCGGTCCGCTTCGAGGGAACGATGTGCACTTGACGTGAAAGAGAGCAGACACGCGCCAAAGGTGAATTGGAAAGCGTGTCAAATGGTCCACAGCGCGGCCAATTTCGTCATGCTTCGACACACAATACAATACGTGCTTTGAAGTCGTGCACGGTTGCCTGCTTGCTAACCTGACATTTATAGTTTGCTTGGCGTGCTTTGTGGCGTCTTGCCTCCGTCCGTGAAACGCGGACAACAGGAACCTGCGCCTCACCATAAATCAAAACACAACAGCACGGCACAAACAGCCGCAGTCGCTCATAGCGGTCGTCACAGCGCGCCGAGCCGAGCCAGGCGCTTCCGTGTCGTCACCAGCGCTGCAGCCCCGTAACGCCCGAGTTTGGAGCACGTCACGCTCGAGTCTGGAGAGATGCAGCCTCGTGACGTTCGCGTCTGGAGCGTCGCCGCCGCGCTCCAGGTCACCGTTTCGTGCGCCGACGGGTCGCACCGTTCCGTGCCACTCCCCAGCCCCGGCCGGGTCACCCCGCGCACGGAGCAAGTCCACCGGGACACGGGTTCGCCGGGGGCCCCTCTGGCGGCGCGCTCTCGGTGACGCGCTCGAGCTGACAAACAGACGCCGCGGCGTCCAGGTGGGTGTGAGGTATGACACTGACGAGGCCTCGAAGTGTTGTTCCCGAGTAGCCAAGGACGGGTCCGTGCGACACAATGCGGTCGTTTTCCCACAACATGTCAGATCTGTCACGCGTCTGGCGCTGCCTTCACCGGCCGAGGCCGCTGGCACGGCCTCTGCGCGTGGCCGGTGGCCCTCCTCTTGGCCTCTGTTCGCGGCCGATGGTTCGCCTCCGTCTCAGCGACGAAGGCGAGTTCTATCCAGCGATCCAGTGACCCCGCTTGAACTGTGTCCCCATGCACAGGTCTGCGTCACATGCGTAGGTCTGTCCGAGCAGCTCAGGTCACTACGATCGCACAATCTCGGCTCGTCCACAACAGATGCTGTGGTTCGGTCAAGTTCACGGACCGAGACGTGCGGGTATGGGTACCTATTCGGCGCGGTAAAGTGTCCATAATATGACGATGGGGGGGGGGGGGCAAAGGTGTTCCAGCATCACTGCATACACCACCGGTCCGTCCCCGGCAGTGTGCGGTGCGCACCGGTCCCGGAGCGGCAGTCGAGCGGAACGGAGCAGGCTCATCGCCACACATCCGAAGCTTTTTCGTGGGACTCGGAGCATCGCCTCACGAGATGCTATCACCATATAAATCGCCGGCTCCCGGCGTCGGGCACAAGACAATCCG